TGTATATGCATGTAATTACATCTCCACCTGTCCATCACGGAGCACCTGTCTCAGAGACTCTGTCATTGGCAGAAATCTAGTGCCACCAAACATAAATTTCAACTTGCTGGTTATCTTGAAAAAAGACACAGAAATCATACCTGTTCAGGCCTCTCTCTTTTTAATGCCAGAAGCGTGATTGTGTTTATGAAGCAGTGAGGAAAAAAAGAAAGATATTCTGTACTAACATTCTAATATTTCAACTATCCGCTAGTGGGTTGAAGCTAAGAAGTGCCTGCGTAGTAGTTGATGCCAGAGGCTGGGAGTTTTGATTCTCCACTGTGCCTCCTTGATAGGGACTTGATGATCCATAGGATCCTTCCAGCTGTGGAGTTCTAAGATTATAATAATTCCCCCAGTCATGACTAAAAATACAGATGCCTTGAGTTTGATTAATGTAAGTACAGTACAGTAAACAGAACTTTTGCTACGACTCTGCTGGTTCTGGCACCATAGAGTATATTCCTCAGCATGCCCTAACAAGCCAGAACAATAAAAAGAGGAAATTTGAAACCACCTAGAGAAGTGTTACCCTCATAGACCACAGGCTATGGTTTCGTCTTAGCTAAAAGATCATGTTGCCTCTCAACAAAGGCGGCAGTTAGGAAACTTTGAAGTGGCTCTGTACCAAGTTATAACACTGGTCCATCTAGCCAATGTCGGTCTCTAATCACTGTCTGTGCCTCCCCACTACCTTCTTCCTGGAGATGCCAGAAATTCAGCCTCAAACCTCATGCATGCAAAGCACGTGTGCTCTGCCCCACACAACAGTTTTCCACTTGCTAAATACAGTGGGGTCTTGACTTGAGAACTTAATCCGTATTGGAAGGCGGTTCTCAAGTCAAAAAGTTCTCAAGTCAAATCTGCATTTCCCATAGGAATGCATTGAAAACCATTTGATCCGTATCTGCTCTTTTCCGTCCATAGAAACTAATGGGAAGCTGCTATTCCGTCTTCGACCACTAGAGGGGGATATTTTGTTTCTTTTTTTCTTAGGTCAACAAAGGTTCAGGGAAGGCAGGGAAAAGACAGTCCAGGCAGTACAGTACCAGGCAGTCCGAAGACTGTCTCCCAATCCACTCTCTAAACGGTGGGAGGAGTGAGGAAGCAGACAGGCACCCTTTTCACTGGCCAACAGTTAACTGAAAGTTCACATTTTGCACTGTCCCTGCCTCCCATGTGGTTTTTTTCAGTTCTTAACTCAAATCTAAGTATGTAAGTCAAGTCAATATTTTGCTATGAGAGCGGCTCTTAAGTCAAAATGTTCTTAACTCAAGTCGTTCTTAAGTCAAGAACCCACTGTAACATCAGGTGGAAGTAGATTAATATTACAGCAGCCTTGGGTCAGTGAAAGTATAATTATATTCTCATAACAGAATGAGTACATTTTGGACGACTAGATGCCTACTTCTCTGTGCCAGACTATTTATTAGGTCTGATAGTTGGGTTTTCCCCCTCCACTTGAGTTATTGTTGCAAGAAAGCAAGGCTTGCCAGAGCAAGTTCAGCCACCAGAATGAGGAAACGGTGTCCTTCAGGGCAGCAATAGACTGATAAGCTTCCTCTGTTTGCAAACTTACTCAGGGAAAACAAGAGGCCTGCTCCATACTTACACTATCTTCAAAAGCTATAATATGGATAGAAGCAGTATCCCCCATGAAGGAGCAATGGCTCCTTTTGTTCTCTTCCATTAAGAAGCCAGAACGGAATTCTGTAACTCTACAACTGTATTAATAGCTATGAAAGAAGCCATTCAGTGGCAGATGGGCAGCCCCAACAGTTTCAAGGTGAAACGCAGCATATTTTGCTTAGCATTTGGGAACACCTGCTCAGCAGCTGGTGTCCAAGATTTATCTGTTCTGTCATACTGAAACAAAATCATGCACTGTGTTGGAGTAGATTCCCAGGCAAATGGGAATCAAATCTGATGCTGGATCTGGGAGACAGTGTTCTATTAATGCAGACTCCTCAGGAGTATCAAAGGAGGTTGTTGGTAACTGGGCACAAGGAGGGAGTGGTATGGAAATTAAAGTTACAATCCAATAGATCAAGGGAGGGGAATCACAGGGCCCCAGACCTCCTCTGGCCTTGAGTCTCCCATTCTGCCTATGAAGGTTTGGTGAAGCCCTTCTGTCCCCAAGTCCTCATTGCAGATTAATTCACTCATATATTAGGCTTCTCATTTAAGAGTGAGCAACGCAGAAGGGTATCCAGTGCATGTGTGTGGGCAGTGTGTGTGTACATGCACCTTCCTTCAACGCTTGAAAATATTGCAAATATATTATGTGGCCCTCCGTGTGAAAGGTTTGGAGATCCCTGGTCTACAGCAGTGGTTCTTAATGTGGGCGATAATGCCCCCCAGGGGGCGATTTCATTTTTCAGGGGAGCGGTAGAACAAAAAGGGGCGGCGTGCGGGCGTTGGAGCAGAAGGGGGCGGTAGGGGGCACTGGAGCAAGCCAAACCTGTGAAGATGGCTGCAGCCTTTTTACGATGTGCATGAATATATATTTTCCTCCAATCTTAATTTAGTTTCAGAGTTTTCGTCTTGAAATTTTTAGTTCCTGCATTGCG